CACTAGCATTACTGCCAAACTGCATGAACTTTAGAACAAATGAAAGGTATTTCAGGGTTGTTTGTTGTCTGTTTGTAGGCACATGTTTACAGCAGCCAGGAAAAGATTCCCTCCACTGCCTCTCCACACAGATCTGGCGCAGTGCTGGCTTGTAACTATGTACTTTATTACGTCACAGTAATTTTTTTAGCACACACTGGTAAATTTTAGTCCAGAACAAAGGACTTAAACTAAAGAGTAATTAAACAGAATTTGGAGGATGGTCCATAAAAAATAATTAATTTACTGCAGCAGCTTATGTTACTGCCTGCTCAGCTCTATTTTTAGGTGTTGAGATCTTCCTAGGCATATGGATTAAGTTACAAGATCCTGAATGGAAAAAATTTTAAGGAACTGTGTGTGAAATACCACATTGAGAAGAATCATTCTAAATGAGCTTGATTGGCTCAAATCCTATGTCAGTGGAAAAAAGACCAATATTTAGCAAATGATATCGAACAAATATTTAGAAATTGAGTTTAAAATCCGGGGTGGAAGGAAGAATCCCGTTTATTTCTTCCCCATGTGAAATGAACAAAGATCTTAAGAAGCCGGAAGAGTGCAGCGGCGGCGGCTGACCTTAAGGTACGTCCTGGCTAGCTGCGGCCAGCACCGCCGGCAGCACGGGGGCACCCTCCCGATCCGGGGCTCGGTCAGGGGAGCGCCTAAGGCTTTCGCCTTAAGGGACGAGGATCCGCGGCTGAGAGAGAGGGCTGCTAACCCACAGGAGGCAAATGAAGAGACGGACTCCAGAGGTAGTACAGTCTGGACTTACCGTCCAGGGGAGCTACCAACTGAAGACAAATCAACTGGGCTCCAACCTGGGTTTTTAAAGTGGGGCGGATACAGAGAGGCAAAGTGGTCTTCAGCAAATCAAAGAAAAGGTGGGAGTGGTGGTGGGATAACTGACATGTAGGGAAAACCACTGAGGGTAGAGCAGGGGTGGAGTCCTGGCCCCTGATCCAATCACTCGATGCTCAGGATGGAAGATTCTAGACAGAAGGGCTGGGGCACCGAGTGACAGACAGGGAACCAGGGAGGGACTGAGGGAATGGATACATCAGTTGCTAGGGGTAACAGGGAGGGGAGATTTGACGGAAGGGGCGATCAAGGAGAGAGAGAACCAGGGCAGAACCATTACAACAGAAAGGGGTGTAAGGAACAAACCAAATCGGCATACAGCATAACAAAACACAATACAACAGAAGAGCTTTTAAGATGTGAAGGAAAAGTGGGACTATAATACTTAAAATCCAGACTTTATGCCTGTGGGTTTCTAGTGCAAGAATTTAATTTATTAGTATCTAGTAATTAAATAGTTCAGCATGGTAAGGGGGAATAAGTTCATTAGTGAAATACAGCATAAATAAAATGGTGTAGGCTACTGGAAACGGGTGTTGAAATACTGCCAAATGGTGAACACTAAAATGAAAGCTGAAATATTACAGAGACTGAAATATCATGTCACCTTTATAATAAAGTACTTTTTAAAAAGATAAAAAGTTTTAGAAAGTTAAGAAGTGTGGTACCTGGCAATTTCTGTTACTGGTCTGTATGTGCAGGAATTGTCAAAGGATTCCATGAGGGCAATAATGCTGTCTAGGACTAAACACTGGAAGTACTTTTTCCTTCACTTTGAACAGCATCCGTATATATACACAGCAAGTGCTATATAAAGTCATCACTTTTTGGGATGTTCACATGGTGGTTTTGGCTGGGACAGAGTAAATTTTCTTCACAGTAGCTAGTAGGAGGCTGTGTTTCACGTTTCTGCTAGAAACACCGTGTGTGATAACACGTGTGTTTAATATGTGTGTAGTTAACGCTGGGCAGTGCTTACAAAGAGTCAAAGCCTTTCCTTTCCTGTCTGTTGCTCGCGGCTGCTTGGTTTCCTCTCACCATTACTAGGCTGGGTCCACAAGGAGCTGGGATGTGACACAGCTAGGACAATGACCCCAACTGACCACAGGGATGTTTAGCGTGTGGTGTCATGTTCAGCAATTAAATCTGGGGGAAGAAGTAAGAAGGGGGGATGTTTGGAGTTATGGTGTTTGTCTTACCCAGTCACTGTTATGTAGGATGAGGCTCCGCTCTCCTGGAGATGGCTGAACACCTGCCTGCACATGGAAAACAGTGAATTAATTCCTTGTTTTGCTTTGCTTAGGTGTGGCTTTTGCTTTCCATATTAAACTGCCTTTATCTCAACCTACAATTTTTCTGGCTTTTAATCTTCCAGTTCTCTCCGTGATCTTACTGGTGAGGTAGGGAGTGAGTGGCTGCATGGAGCTTGGTGGCTGGCTGGGATTAAACCATGAGAACTCCATAAAGCTTAAGCACAGCATGACTTTGCTATTTTATTTTATATCTCTATTATTTTATGTATTTGATATATGGCATGGTATGCCTCGGTTGCTGTTGGAGATTAAGATGACATGTAGCAATCATCCACTTTCTTCACCATTGCAGCTCGACTGTAATTCCAACAACCCCAGACTGATGCACCTTTCTGTAAATTCTGGCATGTACAAAGCATCTTCCTCTTTTGCCTTACGTTCATCACCTAAATCTTAGAATTACAGGTTACTAGGTAATTTGTTGAGTCAAACCAACAGCTAATGATTTTTTTTTTTTTAATAACAAATCATAACTGGAAAAATATCCTACAGCTTTTACATAAAAAAAAAATCTGCACTTATTGTTAGGTTTATGAGAGTATATTTAGAAAAGATTGGGAAAACCAAACCAGTACTTGTGAATACGTGCCCATTTCTGATTAAAGTTGATTGAAAATTTCAGGACAATTGTACAAGATGAACTTAGCATCACTGTAATGCAAAACTTGTTTTTGTCTCTGCTTGCTTGTGAGAGTGGAATGCTTGTGTCCACAAGGATTCTGTAAAACTAACAGGAATTAAGTATATGCTCACTCCTCTTTCATTAAGGCATCTTTTACAGCACAGACTGCCTATGGAGGATTTTTGGCAAAAGGAATTCAATGTCTACTGAGACAAGGAAATAAGCTTCAGCAAATGACTTCTGAACGTTTTTTAAAGCTATATTGCTGCTAATTCTTTTTTCTATGAGGACTTCTAGAATGTTTTGGAATGTGCCAACTTTACCTAAAAAATTATTTGAACAAGCAATACTCCAAGCAATACGTCAGAACCTCCAACACTTATCCTTTGCATCCTCTCTCCTCCATATTTATAATGTCGGAAAAACAAGTTGTTAATAAACTTTTAAAGTTGTTTTTATGTATTCAAATATAAAAAAAGGTAATACTTAAAGGGGTAATGATCCCTTTAAGGGGTCATTTAGACCCTCAGTGGCCTAAATGATACTCAAATCTCAAGGTTTTTAAAATGCTACTCCCCTGACTGGACAACTAGGAAAGAGCCTAAAATCTCTTCTTTTGCACAAGCGTTGGCACAAAGTCTATTACATAGTGTGGTAAATAGGTATGATTCGTTCTGACGAAAATTGAAACAGTAATCAATATTGATACAGTAATTAATATTTGGAAATAATAAAACAGTTAAAGGTGTAATGCCAAGAAAGAAAGGGAGAGGAGGGGTTCCTCCCTGCCCCCTTCTCCTGCAGATGTTCAGAACAGGAAGAAGCAAGAGATAACTATTAACTAAATTTATTTGGAAAAGAGGAGAATTTGGTTGGACAGCACGAAAATGTTAATTATATGAGATTTATTGCTTTAATGTTAGAACATAATATTGGCTTATACTGTACCAGCTTGGTGTGCATGTGTAATCCAAAAGGTGAATTAAAGGACACCGGGGAAGAGGAGAGGCCTCCCTCAAAGAAGACCCCCAAAGAGTGGCACGACTCCCTAAAAAAATGGTAGAGCATGCGTGGTAAAGGTGATGATGAGGGTGGCGATGCAAGTGTGACGAATCGAAAATGGGAGTAATGACATACAGCATAAAAGGGGGAATTTTGGCTTGGCAATTCATACGTGGCGGGGTGACGGGAGTCAAGCCCTGCACTCCATACCCCGTGCGGTTATTTTTGTTTATGTGCTATTATCAGAACCAAATTATTCCTTATTTTAACCAAATTATATTGCCAATATTCTGAGTGCATTCAATTATATATATATTAAGCTACTTAATTAAAATTGCTGTTAATTTAATTTTGGTTGGGTTTTTTTTTTTGGTTGGATAATTGGGCAAATATAACACATAGTATTTTTAAGTTTCGTTTTGTTCTTTTTTTTTTTTTTTTTTTTTTTTTTTTTTTTAATAATTATGTGGCAGCTCTTGCAGACATCAAGTGAGAGTGGGGTTCTGATTGCCCCGTTTCCCGCGTGGGCACACAGGACATGGAATGCAGGATGCCCGAGCAGGGTAACCGCACCCACGGGTGGTGACAGTGCCGAACAAGCGCTGTGGCAGCTGCCAGGCGCGGGGGGCACAGGGCGGGCACAGCATTTCTGTGAACTGCCAGGCGCGATCCGCCAGGCCACTAAGGGTGCTGGCATTAGGGGACTGCTACCCAGCAGAGGATGGAAGAGAGCTGCGGCTGCAGGCGCCCCGCGGCTGCGGTCTGACACTGAGCCGCCGCTGGGCACAGGGCAATCCCTGGAGGCCAGCCCTTCACATACTAAACAGGTACATTTGTCCCTGTAAGGAGAAGCTCGAGGCGAGGCAGGCGCGCAGATGAGCCGGGGCAGGCGCCGCGGCCTCCTCTGAGCGCGATCTCTGAGTTGTGAGGGGAGCAGCGGAGCCGAGGCCCGCGCACCTCCCACGAGTCCCCTCCGGCCGCTGCCGCCGGCGCCGCCCCCACCCGCGCGGCCCCGTCCCCAAGTTGCCCCGCCCCGCCCCGCCCCGCCGTCATTGGCTGCCGGCTCTGCCCACCAGCAAGCCGCGCCCCCTCTCCCAACCTGACGTTCGCTTCCCGCCCCCCGAGTGGCCGGCGTGCCCTGTCAATCACCCGCGCTCCGGGCTCGCGGCGCGTCCCGCCCGCCCGGGCGCCTGTGCCGCGGTGGGAAGGGGCGGGCGCTCGGGGCCGCCGCCGCCGCTTCCCCTCCGCCTCGGGGTGCCGCCCCGGCCGGCCCCGCTTCGGAGCCCCGCACCAGGGGCGGGGCGGGTCGGGTCGGGACGGGAAGGGAAGCAGACCCTGGAGGTGAAGGGCCGAACGCCGAGTCTGTGTCCCGCTTCCCTGGGCTCTCCGGTAAGTTGCCGTCCCCGGCCGCCTCTCGGTGCGGCGGCGGTGGCGGTTGCAGCGGTCGCAGCACCCCCGTGGGCCGAGGCCTTGGGCTGGCTCTCTCCTCCTTTCCCTGGCGGCCGCGGGACTTGCGGGGGCCGTGGAGCCTCTGCGAGCGCGGCGGCGGCCAGGGCGGCCGCCCCGGCCGGGGCAGAGAGAGCCGGCGGCCGTGCGGGGCCGTGCCCCGGGCGGTGTGCGGTGCCCGCGGGGCTCGGCCGGCGCTGGGAGGGCCCGCCGCCTCCCGTGGCTGCGCTCCCGGGTGGCAAAAGCCGTCGCTGTGAGACCTCCGAGTGCCCTCTCCTGCAGGAGTTGCTTGCGGCGGTGGGGTTCCCTGTGTGGCTGCTGGCCGTGGTTGCTCCGACCGAGCACCAAGCTGGGTTTGTAGGAACAAGTATATTTGTTTCCTGGTCTATAGAAGCAGGTTGCTGGAGTGCGATTATGCTGGTTTAGCACATTAGCAGGTTAGAGGCAAACTGAGCTGCCAGTACTCTTTTATTCTTACCTTTTATTTCGCTTTTCAGGAAGTTATTTATAGGCGCGCTCTGAATGTAGTGGTTTTACGTTTGATTAAAATCTCTAAAAGTGGCCTTTCAGTGATTCACCATGGAACTCGGACAGACCTTATTTTCAGGCATTCTTGTTCGTTTTACTGGTACTCCCTTAATGAGTGATGAAGTGACATGCGATTGTAAAAAAAAATTGCAATATAATCGAAGACTTTTTTTCTTGCTGAATTTTATAGTTAAGATCATTTGTTATATGCATAGTTAGAAATAGATACTCTGCATGTGCTTAAGCATGATTATAAGTGAAGCACACTGTTAAGCATATTAAGCCTTGCTGCCTGCGTTATGACTGCTTGTAAGGATAAACAACTTACCTGCTCTTTAGACTCACGCCTCTTCTTAACCCACTTATCTAGTGAATGCATTTTATCCCAAGCTGCACTGGGATGTTGAAGTCCAAGACGGGAGTAATGCAATTTTGTTTTAAAGGGAAAAGATGAGATAAGTTGATAAAAGATGAGTTAGATGTGCTAACTATATTTTAGGGCATGTGTTCTCTCGACCTTAATATCCTTTAGTCAGTTTCTTTTTAGTTGAAACATTTCAACAGTTAAACAGTGTTTTCAGTGGAAAATGTTTTCAGCAACATTTTGTTGTGCTGGCCTGAAATGAAGAAACTACCTGGCAAACGGTAGATTATTTACATTAGTTGAGAATGACTTTCAGCTAATTAAATTAATCTTTTTCTCTTTTGCCACTCTGCATCCAATAGATGTGTTGACTTATAAAATGTAAAGTATTTTCAGAATCTAAAGTACTAGTTCTGATACATCACATTTTCTGTAGAGCTTTTTTTTCTGTGTGATCAAGATAAATATATTCAAGATTAGTTAAGAGAATTAACCTGCGACAGGCCATGTCTTTACCCTTCCGAAGTTGTTCTTCCCCTTAAAAAAAAGAGTAACTGAACCTACGAAAGAGTTTTTCCCTTGTCCAGCCTATTTATGTACAATTAACAAGACTGAATTTACTTCCTTTTGTCATATTTTCATAATTAAATTAATTGCATTACTAAAGCTCATGCATTGTATTAAATCTTAGTGTCCCCACTGTATCCACAAAGTTTGTCCTATGGAAATAGAGTTGTTCTTGGTTCACTAGTTACTGTGTTAAATGGTTCTGTGATTAGGAGTATTAAAGTTAAATGTATTTCTAACATTTTTACTCTTGTCTTGAAAATTTGTTTAAAAAAGACTAGGATGTCTACTGATGTTAAGAATAATGAGCTTAGAATAAGAGAATATGAGCTTAAGAATAATGTAGCTTAGTTATGCCTTTGAGACAACAATAAATGGATCATGAGGAATAGGGAAGTGACAGTGGTTACTTTTCTCTGATATCTTCTAATTACGAAAAAGAAATTGCTAAAGAACAGGGTACGGATCAGCTGTATTAACTGTCTTTATCTAACTTTGCTCCAGCTGAACTTTTTTTTCAGTCTATTGTAGACAAAACATATAGTTATGTCTTGTTCCTCAGACTGCTCTTTGTACTTTTGAGTGATTTCTTTGGGATGTTGTACATAAAAGTAATAATGCAATTAAAACCACACACAAACCACAGGAATAACAAAGTTGTAAGGCAGTTTGACATACTGTTTCTTCACAATTTAGGCTCACTGATTCAACTGCAAATTGATGTTTAGAGTTCTCAGTCAACCCTTAATACCTCACCTGAGGTTTTATGAACAAACTACCTGGTCGTGCTTAAGGAAAGAGTGGGACAATCCTTTTCATCTGTGGTCTGGGTTTAAATTATCTAAAAATGATCGTGATACTTGGGAGTAATTTATTAATGTAAATGCATTGGTGTGTTTCCAGTGTACACTGGGCCTTTAACACACTTTCAAAAATGTTTTGAAACTTCTATATAATTGATTTCCCTGATCTAGTAAAAGGTAAAAAAGTAACTTTGAAGTAATTGCTGTATATTTTCTGACAATCCTTAATTTTTTTAACGCTATGCAGGCATTTTAATGCCTCCTCAGTGCTGCTGCAGAACCGATACAATGAGATCAAGCCTGATGCTGTTGTGCTTGTTTTTCTAAGTGTAATTCTGAATAGCCTGCCAGACATTGTCACTGGACTTCTAGAGGTTTGTAAGCTACAGCTGAAACAGCTGGGTGAAGAAAAATGTGTGTTTAAGCTAAATAGTTGCTTAAATAAAACCAGTCTATTGAGAAGGTAGTTAAAAGCTAGGGTGATGATAACAGATAAAGACAGTGACTGGAACATCCCTCCCTCCCTGTGATCTTAGGTAAGCCACTTACAATTTAATGTCCCCTCTTTGGCGTAGGGAGGATGTAGAAGAGGAGACGTCACATACCAATCCATGCTGTGGAATTGTTTTGGATTGTGGTTACTTAGGGAGCTTTCTGAAACTAACTTTCAGAGGAAGTTATGAAACTCTTAGTTGTATAGTATGGCATAATTTCTTTTGGTGAGATTTAGCTTACCTGTTATATTTTCTTCTGCTGTTTTATAGATGATATGTTACCTTAAATTTATGAAAAGGTTTCTTTCTAACAAAAGGGGTAAAGAATATTTATATATTAAATATACATATATGTAAAAATATAAATATTTGTGGTAAATATACAATATAAATGTACAAAAATTTCAGAATATTACAAATGTGCTTGCCAGTGCATTCTTCTAGCCTGTTTATTGAACTGCATGTTCCTTATCTCTTACAGAGGACATTTTAAGCATCTACGCTTCCCTCTCTTCACCACCTCCTTTATCTGATGTTTTTGACTTTGTGTAGGAAACCTTTTTAAAAATCCCCATTTGACTGTTAAAAGAAGGGTATTTAGTACAAAAGAAGTATATTATTCATATCTGTAGGTATGAAAAGCTAAAACAGTTATCTTGCCATTTGTGTCTGGTATCTTGCCTTGTGCTGTGGAGTTAGTAATGGGACACGTACTGATCAATCAGAAATGTCTTTGCTGAAATGTTTACTCAGATAACTGTAGGTCACAGAAGCCCGTGATGCACACAAGTAAGATTTGCATATTCAAGTAATTTTATTACTTAATTTGACTTTATGTGTAACATCATTAATGTAACTACAACTGTTTTTTCCTATGCTTTAGGATCTTCTCTAGAGGTAAGCTTACTAGCCAGCTTAGCTTTTAACATACCAAGACTTTGTAGTAACATTTTACTTAACTTAGTTATTAAAGGTCATTAAATTACTAAGTTAAGTAAATTTAATGTCTTTTTCCTAGAAATAAATTTTTTTCCTCCAGTTTCCCTGTGTGGTGATTTGCACTCTTCATCAACGTGTGTTTTGATTCTGTTAATTTTGATTAAGACAGGATGTGGACTACAACAGTGGAGGATGATGTCCTTTTCAGTTAGCCAAAAATTCAGATGTTTTATGGCAAGCAGAGCCTAGATTTCAGTTTCAAGTATGTGGTTTGTCACAGCTTCTTGTATACTCTGCAGTTGTTCGTTGAGTACTTTGTGAGTTGCCTGTGTTCAGTAAACCCTGTGCAATAACAGAATGTAGATGGGGCAGTTTCCATCAGAAGCAGAGTTGAAGGTGGTGTTGGGGTGGCAGTTTGTGTATGGAGGTCACTGGGGTGTGATGTCCTTGAACTGATGCACTTGATGGGCTTGTGAAACACCAGTCATTGTGGCTCTGCTGCCGATGTTGGAAGGGCTCTTCTCTCTAATATGGGGCATTCCCCTGCTCCATTTCTGGCTTTGCAGTTTTGTAGCTCCACTCTTGCTCTCCATGCCGTCTCTTGTATCAATTCCCGTGAGTTGATTGAGCTTCTGTTGAGTAGAGTAACTGAGTTTGTGGGTTTTCTGGTACTCTGGGTAAGTGAGTAATGGCTTCACTGAGATGTGGGAGTGCTGATGGTGAGTGATGGGAGCAGCAGGTATTGTGACACATGCAGTAGGAGAAGAGCCATTGTACTAACCCATCAAAATTGTCTAATTGCATTTTGTCATTTGCGTTTTGCAAATTTCAGACTTAGGTTCTATTGAACCCCATAGAATTGTTCTTTTTCGTTCCGTTTGTCTTTGGGCTTGGGATGCTAGTTACCTGGTGAATGTTGAAACTGTTATATTTTAAAAACTTCATTGGCTGCATTTTCTGTTTTTGTAGAAAATACTTTAAAAGCATGGGCTGCTTGACAGGTCCTCTTCATGATGTTGCAAGGTGTGATTTAGTCCAGGATAGGACACATGTCTGCAGCCTAGAAGAAAGTACTATTTAAAAGCTGTATTATTACGTGTAGAAGAATCCTGTGAGTATCTTTCTATATTTAAGGCACCAATCATTTTCCATTTTATGTCTTTATATTTGAATGAAGTAGTTAACATGACTGTTAGGCTGTTTCAACAGCTTTTTGATATAATGGTATAAAACAATCCTTAAAGGCAT